ATAGTTGCGGTGACACAAAAATATAAAGGAATATCTTACCCATCCAATATTATAGAATCTTGTTTTTATATGTTATTGTGTAAGCATAATTAAAACATAAATAGAAAATATCTATACAAAAACACTGGTTCATAATAACTTGCTTTCCGTCTGTCCTTAATGTAATGTTTTTATAGATTCTTTTGTATTTAGTGCCTTTCACAAAATCATCATAGTAATTATTCAACTGCAAGCCACTGACTGTCTCATTCTTTAGAAATCAAAGCACCAGAATGCCCTTGAATTCATAATTTTTTATAATCTGTTTATTGAACTTGGTTATCATATGGCTGTATAAAATTAACAAAGCTGCTTGACATATTTTGCAAGATACAATTATTTCAGAACATTAATAATCAAGGAAAATTAGAATTCAATAATTTTTCTTTTGTTCTTTATAGTTTCCTCGGTCACAATACACACAGTTTCCATAAGAATATTACAAAGCTAACACAATTTTTTTTATTTTTTTTTTAATCAATCCACACAAGGCTTGGTTTGGGCCAGGTCTGAGTGTGGACTTTGTTGGGGTTTACAGCATCTAAAGTGAGCATTGGAGCGATGGGGTGCAGGGATGCCAGAGATGTCCTTGCAGCCAAGAGTCCCATCCGAACACAGCTGTCTGTGTCTTTCCCCAGGACAATCCCTGCCATTAAGGCACCTGCAAGACTGGAAACAAAGGGGAGATGAGAGTCTTTTGTTTGAGTGTTTCACCATCATTTTGTGACTCAGTGAAAGAATGCCAGTGAGATGGGGAGAGAAAGAGGTCATAGAAATTGAAAAGTGGATAAAACTGCAGCAGAAGAAACAAAGGAAATGAAAGTCAAATAAGAACAAGATGGATGAAGTAGGTCAAGCAAATTTTTAGCACCTATCTCCAGCTCCCGACACATTCATTATCTCCTCTGGGGTCACAGCAAGTGCTGGGTAGTGGAGACCACAAAGCTGCCTCTTCTGCAAACAGAAGCAGGAAAAAAGCCATTTTTACCACTACTGTCAGAGCAAATCGTTACAGGCTGGCATGAAGACCATCCTTACCCTCTTCTGTTTTCTTGGCTGCAAGTTGACTGTGCCTTCATCATACTCTCCACACAGCAACACGCCATTAGCCCCTAGAGTCACCACCAGGCAGTGAAGATGTTCCAGAAGAGGGCGCGAGAGAGCCACAGCAACACTGAGCGTCTCGTCGAGTGTGCTCGGCAGCACTGCCGCAATACAAAACCACATCCTCAGCTTCCGTCAGAGTATTTGCATTTTTGACAAGAGCTCTAACATCAATAGCAGAGGGTGTGAATTTGTTTTTTGATGGCTTTCGCTGATAAAAGAGGAGTAACATAGTTTACCTTCAGGTGTTTTGACACCCAGTGTTTTATTCATGGTGCACAGCTCTGCCAGGTTCGGAGATGAATAGGACAAAGACTTCCAGGCATTTGAAAGGAAAGGCTTACAAGCCTTTTCTGAGTCGGTCGGTTCATACCAAACTGCGATACACATGGAAATCTTAGTGTTACAATCAATAAAAGCACATTTTTGAGATTTTTTAGAATCATGTCTTTCCATTGGTTACCATTTATGTTGCGCTTTTCAGCAAAGCAACAAACATAGTTGATGGTTGAGGTGGGAATGTTACCATCCAGACACACGAGTGTGGCTGATGAAAGTTGCGTCTTGAATTGTGACACCTACAAAAAATTATTCAGTGACAGAATATTGAAATGGTAAGTACAGCGTATTTAGCATTTTGTAAAACCAGAGGTTCTTCACAGGGGCTCAGGGAAAACAATGGCAAAATGTAAATCAATCATTTCATAAATTGAATAAATCAGTCAGCAAATTGAGAAAATATAACTGTCCAAAACTGTCCAAAACCCAAATACACCAACCAAGCATTTTATTAGGTACATCTTGCTACGGGGTTGGGCCCATCTGCCTTCAGAACTGCCTTAATTCGTAAATTCAACAGCTGATGAGAAGCTTTTGCTTCTCCACATCACAAAGGTGCTCTATTGGACTGAGAACTGGTGACTGTGGAGGTCATTTGAGTAGAGTGAATTCACTGTCATGTTCAAGAAACCAGTTTGAGATCATTTGAGCTTTGTGACACGGCGTGGCGACCTGCTGGAAGAAGCTGAGAAAATATCTTAGCAGCCTGAGCCACTGATACAAGGCATGATCATTCAGTAGTTTGATGTTGCTTATTTCAAATGCTGGCCCCAAATCACCACCAGAAATCAAGACTTATCAGACCAAGCAATGTTTTTCCAATCTCCTGCTGTCCAATTTAAGTGAGCCTGTGCAAACGTTAGCTTCAGTTTCCTGTTCTTAGCTGATAGGACTGGAGCCTGGTGTGGTCATCTGCTGCTCCATACTATTCAGAGATGCTCTTCTGCATACATTGGCTGTAACCACTGATTATTTGTGTTACTATAGCCTTTGTGACCCACACAAATATGTGGTCAAAATTGTGAATCAAGTCTTGTTAAATATGTAGGCAATCATGGATGCTTCACTTTGTTTACTGGTATGATAAGGTTTAGAAGTCCTCCAAGTTTTGTATTGCAAATGCATGCATATCACTTTGGACAGTAGATGGCAGTAGAGTACCTTAGGACTGAGTTGTGCACATAATTCTGGCAAGACTGACCAGGCCAACTGCAGCGTGTTTCCTCTGCACTATTTCTCCTGTTTTACAGGGCAGTAATGTGCTCAGCCAAGTATACAGTTCCTGTATATACAGTTCCCGTATACTTGGGTAACTTTGCCTCTGTTGCAAGTGTTTTTGTGTACCATGTCTGTAAAACGTTCTTAGTTGGGTAGGTCATCTTAAAATTTATGTTTTAATCATGTCAGAAGCTAGCTTGTCTGAAAACATACAAAGCCAGAAAGCTATGAGTACTGCCACCACAAATGTTAGCAAGTACATAAGAAATGAATGTGGAGTTATTCCATAATAAGACACAAACACAGTGCAGTTCTGTTTTCGTCTTAATAAATGTCCTTACCTTCAGATCCTTTATCATATGTAATTTTTTTTAAAATTTGTGTACTGTGGTCTCTCGTTTATCGCGGGAGTTACGTTCTAAAAATAATCGGCAATAGGTGAAATTTGTTTTGCCTAATGCGCCTTATAATCCGGTGTGCCTTATACTTCTACCTTACTTTAGCATGTCCAGAAGTCCAACTTTTTGTGCGGTACCATCTTCCTCTGCCTTTTGGGTGCTACCACAGGTGCCTTTGGCAATGCAAACGTTTCGTCGACATTGTTGTGTTTGTTGGGGAGAAATCTTACAAACATACAGTACAGCACTTCAGAGTCACACTGCTAGCGATTGAAGATTTATGTAAATTTGACAAGCT